CATACATACTAGGGACCGACTGATATTGTGCCTCCCCCCAACTCGGTTCCCACATCCTATAAATTTGAAATGGATCTAGTTCTTTAGCCTATAACCTCTAATGGTCTACAATTTGTCTCGTATGGCCCTCAGATGGACCAAAACCGGTAACTTATGGCTTATTCCGGGTTTTACTCTTATCATTACGATCGCCTTTTCTTCACTTGTCTTTGTCCCTCATGATCCTCTTCTTGGCGATTTCTCTTCCTGTTATTGAATAGTTTTCCTTGGTCTAAGTACCTTCTTTTTGCAGTCCTCACTGAATCTCCAGGCCTGCCCATGCAGTATTCCTTCCTCTTCTGATCTCTTGTTCATCAGGATATCAATGGCCTTACTCATCCTCCGTTTTCTGATACTACCCATATGAGGCTATACTTTACGTTGAACTCCAGTCGATTGTGTGGTCGGTAAATGCAATTTGTTTAGCTATTATCTGATCTTTCCGTATCCATAGTTCTGTTTAATCTCTGGTGTTATTTCATCCTTGTGCTGATTGTATTTCCAGTCCTTGCACTCCTATGCTGTACATTCCAGAGCACTTCATTTTCTTGGCTTCTTCAAGTTGTGTGGTTAAGCTGATGGAGAATGTTATCCTTTCCTTCAGGGTTGTACGGAGGGTAGACATCCATCGGCTTTCCTTTGTTTCCTTTGCTTGCCTTAGATAATCCCCGTCCTACAATCTGTCCATAACGATCTACATGTTGCGTTGTATTGCTTCCGTTTCCAAAAAATATCTAGGTTAATTTTCCCGTACCAAATCAACGGTCCAACTCTGGAAATTAGCATGCATACTATGGACTCCGGACAATGTGCGTTCCTCTAGGTCTTCCTGCCAATATCACCAAGTTGCAAAAACAACGTCAAACAACTACTATACAACGAAAGGAGACCACGACAATACAATAGGCCACACCATCTTGGTCTTCATAACATAGGTAGTAATCGCTGTGCTGATTAATCGGGTTGGAGGTTCGTCTCAGATTATCTCTGTCTCCGAGTAATTGTCTTATCTTTCCAAGATCTCCAGCCTTGTCGTGAGTGGTTCTCTTGTGATATTAGAGTAAATGGACTGCACATCAATGCTCACCAATAGTTCGTTTTCCTCAAAACTGGTGATTTTCATTCTTTTGCAAAATTCGTATTAATTCCCTAATATATTCGCTAAACTGTCATTTACCTTTTTAACTGGAGGCAGATAAATTTCGCCACTTTATGTATCGCTACATGCTCGTTGTTTACTATCGGTCTCAATGATTTTCCTTCTTTGTGTACTTTCGGTAAATTATATGTTGCGGGACTCTAGCATCTCTTCATAGCAATGAATGTATTGTTCATTTGTAGATTTCCCGTTCGTATTCATTCCATTCAGAATTTCTTGCAATGCTTTTAACTGTAGGGTCTTTTGTTAACTTTTGATAAGTTGTTGTGTCTCTAAGAATATTTTCAATATTCTCTGTATGTTACTTCCTGTCAGCACTATTGTGGCGCATCCTTAATCTACTTGAAGAACTATTCGATCGTTTCCTTTCAATGTATACATATCTTTCGAAAGTATCAAGACCAAGATAATGTGGTCTTTTTTGTGGTCGCAGTCTCCTTCCGTTGTACAGAATGGCGAGACTCATTGACGATGCCGACTACGATGCCGGCGAAACGTTTGGGAATGTACCGCGTCCATGGTCCGACTTTGTAAATAATACATAATAATAATAATAATACATACAATGTACTCAGGACAAGATGCGTTCCTATAAGTCTTCCTACCAATATGACCAAGTTGCGAAAACAAGGTCAAACAACTTCTGTACATATATTTGTTATCTTTTTCCTGTCCTTGGGTTCTTGATGCGCCAAGATTGTTGGAATGATTTCGATTTCCAGCTCTCTTTTGGATTCTTCCGCTAGCTCCTCAGGGCATTTATTGCTTTAACTAAAATATCCTTGCTTACTTTCCTTATATGCCGAGGCGCAAAATTTAGTCCTTCCTTGAGGATCGCCGTGATTTCGAGTTGAAGGGGGA